ACTCACTCTCACCAGCTCCCCCCCCCATATCCCCTCCAACTCCCCCTTCCCCGAATTCGGTTTATTTTTCAGTATTCCCGCGCTTTATGAAACTTGGAAACCGAGCGTTCCTGACGAAAAAATAACACTGCTCATGAGGATATGAGTCCTCGACTAGCCAATCCTTTAGTTTGTTGTTAATAGGTGATTGCGTAAATCTGAAAAGAACGGCATACTCAAGGCACCTTCTCGTGGTCTCGTGATGACGCAAGAACTGCCTCGGCGCGCGCTGATTGGCTGTAGCTTCACCAATAACTCGTGACGTCACGAGTCGCCACTCCCATTTCTGAATGTGCGGGGAGGGAGGATAGGGGGCAAGCAGGAAAGAGGGACAGAGGAAGGGAGCAAGCAGGAGAGAGGACAGAGGAAGGGAGAATAAAAAGGGAGGGAGGAAAAACAAGAGAGAGGTTGGGGCTTTAAAGATAACAGCAGGATTTTTGTTTTAATTTCTAGGAATTATCAGTGTTCTTTGAAAGCAGGGTCATCGAAGGAAAGGGGGAAGAGGAGGAGGAGAGGGGAGGAGAGGGGGGAGAGGGGAGGGAGGGAGGGAGGAGGAGAGAGAGAGAGAGAGAGAGAGAGAGAGAGAGAGAGAGAGAGAGAGAGAGAGAGAGAGAGAGAGAGAGAGAGAGAGAGAGAGAGAGAGAGAGAGAGAGAGAGAATGGAAAGTAGGGTATGAGAAAGAAAATGAGAGAGAAAGAGAATGAGAGGGATTGAGAGAGAATGAGAGGGATTGAGAGAGAAATGTTGAGAGATTGACAGAGAAAGAGAATGAGAGAATGAGAAAGAGAGAGAGAGAGAGAGAGAGAGAGAGAGAGAGAGAGAGAGAGAGAGAGAGAGAGAGAGAGAGAGAGAGATTGACAGAGAAAGAGAATGAGAAACTGAAAAAAGGACTGCAGAAGAAAAAAATAGTGACAAGCGAAGAACACAAAACAAAAATTGCCCCTGTTCACCTCCAATCAGATTCGCCAGGACGGTTCTCCATAAGCGCGCACGCTCGCACGCACACACACACACCTACCACCCCTCCCTAGCTTGCCAAACAAATTTTCCTCTTCACTGCGAAGGAACAGCGTTCGACTGAAGAACAGGAAAATGTTGCATGTTAATATGTTGCTCAGTGGTACATGTTACTATCTTCAAGTTCATAACCGCCTTCCCTCCGCGCCCCACGCAGCCTCCTACATCATATTTTCCCTTAAAGCCTTATACTGATGCATATACCGCCGGGGAGAAGCTGAGGATTTACTGCACACCCCCATGGTCGAGAAGCTTCTAGTAGGTCATGGAGGAAGGGGAGAGGTTGGTGGAGGGAGGGGTGGGGGAGGGAGGATGTGGCTGCACGGGGAAGGGGGAGGAGAAGGAAGAAGAGGAGGAGGAGAAGGAAGAAGAGGAGGAGTAAAAGGAAGAAGAGTAATAGGAGGAGGAGGAAGAGGAGGAGAGATTGGAGAAGAAGAAAGAGATATGGATGTAAATAATGATGGTGATGGTGATGATGATGATGATGAGAGGGAGGAGGAAAAAGAGGCTGAGGTTGAGGAGGAGGAGGAGGAGGAGGAGGAGGAGGAAGAGAAGGAGGAGAAGGGGGAGGAGGGGGGGACAAGAGATAGGGGAGAGTGAGTAGAAGGATGATGATGATGGTGATGATGATGACGATGGTGGTGGTAATGATGATGGTGAGGAAGAGAAGGGGGTGGGACTTAGGAGGGAGATAGAAGTGCAGGTGGTGAGGGAGAAATAATTTGGTCACACATGTTTCCAATTAAAGGCCACGTCTGTAAAGGATCACTGCTATCGCAAAAGACGACAAAACGGAATGAATATAAGAGAGAGAAAGAATCCCTCAGCTCCTACAGCATTTTCTTACCTATTAAACACCGCCATGTGCTGCATGGTGCAGTCTAGCAATCTTGCTGACCCACGTTCATATCCTGCAATGCCAGTGGATGGTAACATCGGCCATTCTTTGCACACTGGGTAGTTTAGGAACACAATAGACAGCCAATCACAATTTGACTGAAGTCACAAGAGCCTGCCGCAGCAAATCGTACATTATTATCATTATTATCCCTTAGAACTCCCTAATAACCCCTCCGCCCTCCGTCCTTCTCTCCCTCTCAATTCCCTCATCTCTCCACTATACTCTTCCCCTCCCCGCATCTCAGCTCCCTGCTCCTCCCCTCCACCCACCCAGTTTCCCACTCCCCGCCCACCCACTTCCCCCACCCCACCGCCGGGAAATGGTACACGTAACGAAAGAGAGTCAGAAACGTATCCAACTCGCGAGTGAAAGTTGACGAAGACGAGGAAAATAACAACAGCCGCGCGGCTAAATAAGATTTGGACAATCGCGACGCGGGAAGGAGAGATAAAGTGAGGACGAACGAGAGATAGGGAAGAGAGAAAGACGAGTAAAGGTGAGATTGAGACTATAAAAAGAAAAAGTGAGGGGAATACAATATGCATGTGTATATGTACACGTATACGTACGCCCACAAACATAATACATACACAATAAATAAATAAAAAAAAAAATAAAATATATATATATATATATATATATATATATATATATATATATATATATATACATATATATATATACACGAAGAGATAAAGAGAGAGGGAATATAGAGAGGTTATGGGAGATGGAACACATCTCCAAGATATCAAGAAATTTACAGCGACTACGTAATAGACAATAATTAATATAATTAAGAGCGACGGAGGCAATACAATCAATAACGATTCGCTGCTTCAAATATTCAGTCAGGCCTGTCGCCTTGTAATGTATGGTAGTTCCGAGAAAAGAACAGGCATACAAAACCTAACACACATACACAGTAACACACATCACGCGTAAAGCCATTAAACTCTCAAACACAAAACACACACATACCTGCACAAAATACAAACCAATTCTAAGACGTTCACGGTGGTGTCTCCCGCGCGAACTTTCACTCCGAATGACGGCCAAGGATCATCCGGGGCCGGAGGTGTGTGCGTGTGCCAAGATCTCGAGATGTCTGTCACTGTATGTGCGTGTGCACGCGTTCATTGGTGTGTGAACGTTTAAATATCTCACAGTGTCACAGTGGCTCACGTGCCCACTGACATGCACGTGAGCGCAACCTTCCCCTCCTTGCACACCTTTATCCATTACGTAAGCATAATCCCCTCGTCCAACGTAACCTGAGGGTATACCAAGATGGTTTCTCTTTCGCTCGTTCCTATTCTCCACCCCTCTTCCGTCAAAGATCAACAGGTTCCTATCGCTCCCCAGCCTACCCTCATCTTTCTCCTCACCTCCATTTCCCCTCGATAGACACCGGGCACGCGTGACCTGGTCCGTCTTTCACAATCACAAAACACTACTTATATGTATGCGTATCCTACGCTCTCTGCCCGGTGCTCTCTCTATCCTTCCCCCTATTCCATTTTCTCCCCCCCTCCCACTATCTCAAACACTCACTCACTCTCTCTCTCTCTCTCTACACACACACACACACTCACACACACACACACACACACACACACACACACACACACACACACACACACACACACACACACACACACGTATATATATATATATATATATATATATATATATATATATATATATATATATATATATATATATATATATATGTATGTATATATATGTATATATACACACACACACGCACACACATATACATTGTATAAATATGTGTATATAGTAATTATATGTGTGTACACACACAAACACACACATGCACACACACACACACACACACACACACACACACACACACACATATATATATATTACATATACACCCACACATCCACACCCACACCCACACACACAATGCATGTATGTGTGTATATATATATATATATATATATATATATATATATATATATATATATATATATATATATATATACATATATATATACATATATATATACATATATATATACATATATATATACATATATATATACATATATATATACATATATATATACATATATATATACATATATATATACATATATATACATATATATATAAATATATATATACATATATATATACATATATATATATATATATATATATATATATATATATATATATATATATATATATATATATATATATATATATATATGCATAGATAGTCAGGCAGATAGATAGATACACATAGATACACAGATGGCTACAGATAGATAGAGAGATGTAAGCATATTCACATGCAAGTTGTGTAACATCAATATCAAGCTCCCTCTTCCACTGCAGTGCTATACAACTTGCTGATGGAGAGCATATGTAACATCGCAGTAGATCTCACACATCATGACTCCCTATTCCTCTTCCCTTTTATCTTCCCCCTGCCCTATTCCCTCTCCCCCAAAATCAATCCTCACCCCAGCCTATCCCCCACACTCCCCTAAAAGTCACCCTGCGCTGCGCCGACGCGATCCTCAGGAGCGGGCGTTCGGCGCAGGTCCTCCTCCACGATACATAACGCCGCCTCGGGGCCTTACACAACCAAGCCTCCCCGCCCGCCTCCCGTTCTACTTCTCTTTCCTCTCTCCCTGTGTACCCAATTCTTTCTTTCCCGTTTTGCATACTTCCTTTATTATCTTACCTTCCTATCTCACCCCCCCTTATCTTTCGTCCTTTCCTGCAACGTCCTATTTGTAATATTATATAATATTTCCCCCTAAAATGCGTAATGCTAAGGAGCGTCTTAAATATAGAACTAGTATTAACAACTATGGGGAGGAAGAGTGTTAAGATAGTGTCTCAATCTTTATAACCTGAAATAAGGATTAAAACTGAAAATGAACATGGGAAGACGTTACCAAACATTCGTATCATCTACCCTAACCCTCCCACTGTAAGTCTTACACTAGCCAAGAAGTCTCGTTATGAAAACAACTGGGGGTCTTAACATGTGGTCGTGAGC